CTCCCATCCTTTGGCGAAACACGTTTTCAGCTGAGATAGGGACTCTTCCCCCCCTTTTTTCCTAGACGCTCCGCCACAACCCTGTTCTTTCCACCCCATTTCTCTAACCCCAGCCCCTCGCCATTCCGATTCTGTGGCGAAACCCGTTTTCTGCCTGAATCTATCCTTAAATCTTAATTCCCAGGCGAAACTCGTTTTCTGCCGGCATTAAGATCTCCCCCCTATTCCGATTTTGTGGCGAAACTAGTTTTCAGCCTGAATCAATACCCTTCTATTCCTCAACCCTCGACCCCTTGGCGAAACACGTTTTCAGCCGGGATTGAGACGCCCTCCTACCCAACCCGTCAGCAAACGCGTTTTCCATCCGAAACCACGTTCCTTTTCATATCCCCCAACCCCCTGGCTAAACACGCTTTCAGTCCAAAACTACCCCCCTGATTCTTTCCCCGCTCCGCGACTCTCTGACGAAACACTTTTCTGCCGAGAACTTATCCCCCTACTTACCTTGTAACCCACGTATTTACTCGTTCGACTCCCTACTTGGAGCAATCCATCCGTCTACCTAGCAGCGCGACCTACCTGAAATAACACATCCATCTATTTACCTGCTCGACCACGACCTACCTGAAACAAAACGTCCATCTAGTTAACTCACTTACCTGAAACTATCCACGTATTTTCCCCTTTTCCTTTCCCTTCCGCATTATAACCCTTGCCACGCGCCAGACACGCGAGCCCGCAGCCCGCGCGCCATTCTGCACGTGACGTTTCAGTTGTTGCAATTATTTCGAGTACACGTATACGTTTTCGAAGGGAACACCGTGCGGACTTTCTAACAAACTAAGCAGCAAATTCGTTTTGCCGCAATTCGATGGGCCGCAGATGACACCACGTGTCACGTCTTGTTACAGATCAAAATGCCGAAGCTGCGCGACAGGAAGATCCGCATCAAGACGCGAAAAAGTTGGTTCGCCAACTGTCTAGAGGCCTGGCGAGCGAATACACGCTCCCACAGACGTAGCAGTTGGAAGAAAAGGGCTGAAGAAAGGGATCGGAAATATTTGTATAAGTATGCGTTTATTAAATTATGTATTATGGATTACAAGTCAAATAAATGTTCTCGCACCATTGATATAAAGCGTCTGGGACTTGATTGTTTACAATATGGTGATAGTAGTTCGCGAAGATTATAATAGATGGCCAGGGACTTTGAGATGAATATTTACCTTTGGTGCTATTAGTGCATCGATTGTTTCGTAATCGGAATCGTCGTCGTCCTCGGTTAAATCGATGATAGGGATGTCCTCAGTAGTGGGTTGCTCCGGGGCGAAATCTTCCTCAAGTTGAATGGGATCGTTGAGAATTAACGTCGAAGCTTCTGAATCGGCTGGCGATGGAGGGCAGTTGACCACGATTTCGGGATTCGGGGTAGAATGACGCGGGACAAGTGCGACGCGGAATTGGTTATTGACGCGGTACTCTAGATCCGCGTAGAGTTTTTGCAAATAGCGCGCGTGTTCCTTTTTTAGTTGCTTTTTAACTCCTCCGCGGCGACTCCTTCTATTCGAACGGCGGGTGCGGGTCCGCGGCAGATTCTGCTTACTATTCTGTATTAGATTATTTTAACGTATATATATTTGTATAAAGAAAAGAATGAACCTAACCAAACGGGGTTAGCACTACACACACCGGCTGAGTGCCGAGAAGCGACCCGAGCGATGGAGTGGAAATGGGAAACCCGTAAATCCCAACTACAAGAATAAATGCTACGAGATTTATACCTCTGGCTCCATCTGACCGAGTGCTGAGAAGCGACCTGAGTGATGAGAGAAGAAATCCAGATCTCGAAATTGCGTTGGAGAGATCAAACGTCGTTCCTCCGAGTCTTCGCTCCTTGGTAAGAGCGCGACAACACAGGAATCGAATGCTACCGAAATCAAAGAAGTAATTAAGATTAATCTAAAGCAGATCTGGGTCTTGAGGATCGTAAATAAAACGCGCACAAGAACGAGGTAACAAGAAAAAAACACTTTATTTAATTGATAATAAAACTAAATAAGGAATTATTATAAAGCTGGACGTACGATGCGTCTGAACGTAGAACGTTGTAAATGATTGACCGCGGAGCACGACTGCACTGTTGAACGACTCGCTTATTACTGAATACTGAAGGCGGATAAAGACTGAAGCACGACTGGACAGTTGGACGGCTTGCTTACGACTGAACACGGAAGGCAGAGGTGCGCTCTCGATCTCGTATTTATTATCTGTTCCCACTACCGCAACTTCCGTTGTCTCGGCAGTGATGAGTTCATCGGCGCTCGCACGGAGCGCGTTATCGTTATCGCACAGGTATAGTATTACATAGTCTCGGCGGTTCGCACGGCTTATCTCTACTGGATGCTGCGTCAGCAGCGACGTCGAAGGCGCTCTTATCTTAGTGAATATAGAGTTACAATTTATCTTAGCGAAGGTTTAGTTTTCTCAAGCGGATTACTTTCTAGTAGATGCTGATGAAGACGTTCGTGTCTTATCTTGGTGAATATTGGATTGCTATTGCGGACTTTAAGGCGTATATTTAATTACTTGCAGGTGTTGTGTTCGGCCTGGGAATTATGGTTACGTGTTTTATCGCGCTGAAATATGCTGATGATTAGGAGAAGGATCTTTTTTATTTGCTTTCTGAATAGATTTCTGTCTTATGACGTTACGTTATTGACAGAAGGTCGGTAAATTAGTTTGATCCTTATTAAACGCGAGGTATCGACCGTAGGTAAGTTATTATTCGTATGAAGGTAAACATGGTCGTTACATTGAGACTTATCGGTTGGCGGTCTCGTATTGATGGATAACCGGTATAATCGCTAATTCAACCTACAGTAGGTAAGTATGTGGAATAAGATTTAGAAGTAGAATAGAATCGATGATATAATTAGGTATGTTTCCGATATAAAATAAGGCGCGGTGACTTACCCGCTGTAGATTATGTAGTATAATGTGTAATAATGGACGAAAAGAAAAATAAATGTGTACGTTACTAGGATGCCACACTACTATGCCGAGGAAACGGGAGGATTATCCCTTAGTGGAATTTTTGGGGGGAGGGTGTACCCCTAGGGGACACCAGTAAACGAGTTTGAGCTCTGGGGAACGACAGAGTGTTCGAGGATTGCACTTTGCGGTGGAGAGATGTCGCAAGTGTGGAAGAGCCTTAATATATCGGGTTCAATGCACTTTGCACTCAGACGAGCATTTACCGTGCACTTGTACTGAAATGAACTTTTCATCTCGGTGCGCATGCACCGGACGGTAAATTTCCCGGTCATTGACCCCTATCTGGGTATAAATATGACTGCCGCGGAAAGGAGTATTTCATTCCTAGTTCGACTTTATACACGGCAACATCGTACAACACAGTCGCTTTTCGACATTATACTCGGCAACATCGTGCTAGTCATTCGCGTTTCGACTCTCTCGACAATATCGTGCCGCGCGTTTGTATATTTCTGTAAAACGATCTTTACATTTTTAACGACGAATTAATAAACTCAAGTGATTATACCAGTGAAACAGTGTTCATCCTTCAAACTAACTTAACCTCGTGTGCACTAACGTGTTTCGCTCCTTCCTCATCCATCGGCTGTGATAAAGTGCTGTAGATGAATTTGCTGGCAAATTCACTCAGCATATCCTGAGCCAACCTATTTCGACGATCTTTTGGATTGCGTGAGTGTCGTTTTCTCCGAGATAACCTACCTTTTCTTTTGCGCTACTCACTTCTCCTTTTACTCTCATTCCTTACCTTGTCCTGTGGGTGATCAAGGGTATGAATGTATCCTTTACACCCTAAGGACATACCTTTCCTCCCGTAGGTAGCAGGAGTATGAATGTATCCTTGCTACACTTTATCATAATTCCTTACCTTGTCTATTGGGTGATTAGGGGTATGAATGTATCCTTTACACCCTAAAGACTTACCTTTCCTGTAGAAGGCGACTGGTGTATGAATGTATCCTGGCTACATCTTATTCCAGTCTAACTTCTTACCTTTTAACCTTTCCCAGAAGCATTGACAAGGGGTATGAATGTATCCTTGACCCAACGCTTCTTCTAACTTTTAGCGCCCTCTAATTATTCATATCTTATTTCGGAGGGTACGATTTCTTCGGTGTCCAACTCTCGTTGAGGTACCTAAAATACCTACCCTTCCACACACGCTCTACCTGAAAATCATCCATCTTTTGGATACTTATGTTACATCCTAGTAACGTACACATTTATTTTTCTTTTCGTCCATTATTACACATTATACTACATAATCTACAGCCGGTAAGTCACCGCGCATTATTTTATATCGAAACATAACTAATTATATCATCGATTCTATTCTACTTCTAAATCTTATTCCACATACTTACCTACTGTAGGTTGAATTAGCGATTATACTGGTTATCCATCAATACAAGACCGCCAACCGATAAGTCTCAATGTAACGATCATGTTTACCTTCATACGAATAATAACTTACCTACGGTCGATACCTCGCGTTTAATAAGGATCAAACTAATTTACCGACCTTCTGTCAATAACGTAACGTCATAAGACAGAAATCTATTCAGAAAGCAAATAAAAAAGATCCTTCTCCTAATCATCAGCATATTTCAGCGCGATAAAACACGTAACCATAATTCCCAGGCCGAACACAACACCTGCAAGTAATTAAATATACGCCTTAAGATAAAGTCCGCAATAGCAATCCAATATTCACCAAGATAAGACACGAACGTCTTCATCAGCATCTACTAGAAAGTAATCCGCTTGAGAAAACTAAACCTTCGCTAAGATAAATTGTAACTCTATATTCACTAAGATAAGAGCGCCTTCGACGTCGCTGCTGACGCAGCATCCAGTAGAGATAAGCCGTGCGAACCGCCGAGACTATGTAATACTATACCTGTGCGATAACGATAACGCGCTCCGTGCGAGCGCCGATGAACTCATCACTGCCGAGACAACGGAAGTCGAGGTAATGGGGACAGATAATAAATACGAGATCGAGAGCGCATCTCGCGTCTTTCAGCCCTTTTCTCCCAACTGCTACGTCTGTAGGAACGTGTAATCGCTCGCCAGGCCTCTAGACAGTTGGGGAATCCACTTTCTCGCGTCTTGATACGGGTCTTCTTGTCGCACAGCTTCGGCATTTTGAATTGTAACAAGACGTGACACAGCCGCCTGGGCCGGGGACCCAGGACGCGCAGCGCCAAAGCGAGTGCCCGCTCAGGGATGCCGTCGGGCCCTGGTGCCGTATTCCTGGCCATTATTCGCCCGACGACCATCCCGAGTTTCCCCTCGGTGACGCCCAGCCCGGCGGACCAGTTACTGGCCTCCGCCGGCAGGAGCGGCCGCGGACCCTCCTCCGGATCTACCGGAAAGAGGGTATCCACGACACGCTGCAGAACGGGAGGGTCGAGGGACTCCGTAACAGGAGGGGCGGCCGGGCGCATGCGGCCCAGCATAATGCGGTAGGGCCGCCCCCATGGATCCTTGTCCAGAGTCTCGAGGAGTTCTCCCCTGGCGCTCGCCTTGGCCCTCCTGGTAGCACGCTGGAGGTCCACCGTGGCCTCTCGGTAGACCTCATACAGCGCCGCCTCACTCGCCCTGTCGCGGTTCCGTCTCCGGCGGGCCCTCGTGAAGCGACGACACGACGCGTTGCATGTAGCACGCAGCGCGGCAATCTCGTCGCTCCACCAGTAAGCGGCATGCCTTGAAAGTTTCCTGGCTCGGGGCATGGCGGCGTCGCACGCCGCCGTCAATGACCCCCGAAACCAGTCAGCTTCCCGATCGACGTCCGCGACCAGTCCAGTTGGGGCATCCGTCCAGGACGCGGCGAGGGCGGACGCCATCTGGGCGTCCTTCTCGAAGCGCTTCAGCGCCCATCTGCGCGGCGGTCGGCCTGGCGCGGGTCCGCAAGCGGGATAGTACTGCGGGGCAGCTAAGACATCCATAAGGATGTAGAGGTGGTCACTAGATGACTCCACCTCCTCCGCTACCCCTCATTCCGACACGAGACGCGAGGCGCCAGGTGTCGCCCACGACAAGTCGACGATCGACTCGCCCTGCCACCGCACGCACGTGCTCACGGACCCCCGGTTAAGCAGCCGGAGGTCCCCGCTCGAGGCCCACTCCAGCACCGCCCGACCCCTCGAGTCCGTTGCCGGGCCATCCCACGCCGTAGACTTGGCGTTGAAGTCGCCCAGCACGAGCGTTCGGGCTACTAGAGAGCGGGACAATGCGTCCCGTACCCCGTCCAGCAGCCATTCGAACGCCGCGAGGGGGGCACTCGGAGGGGCGTAGACCCCGATCAGAGCCAGGCCGCCGCCCTCCGCCCCGACGAACCCGTCGCCGCGGGCGAACACGCGGAAGGCGGCGGTGTCGCCGGTCACTATCACCACGGAGCCCAACGCGTCGGCCACCCAGTTCGGGCGGTCGGCGTTGCGGTATGGCTCCGCGGCGACCGCCAACCCTACACCTAACTCGACCAGGCAGTGGACAAATAAGTCCTGCGCTTTGGCCGAGTGGTTGAGGTTGGTTTGGAGGATCCGGACCGGGGGCATGTGTAACGTCCCGGCGTCGTCGATCCTGTCGCGTGTCAGGCTTGGGAGCATTTAGTCGTCATTTAGGAGCCAAGGAGCGATGCGTCCCAGCTCCGATTAGATATTATTACTAATTCTCCTTTCTTGTTTTCAGGTATGATAGACCAGTATCCTAGGAGGGCAGACGGTGTAGCCGATCGGAAACTACAACGATGGATCAACAGAAGCGTCCCAGGTAAGTATTAGATGAGAAATTACGTTAATTATTCCTCTTCTTTTTTCAGGTTCCAGACCGAGCGGAAATCCGGAACGTCCTCGTGGCAAGATGGCAGCATAAGTATCCAAAAGATGGATGATTTTCAGGTAGAGCGTGTGTGGAAGGGTAGGTATTTTAGGTACCTCAACGAGAGTCGGACACGGAAGAAATCGTACCATCCGAGATAAGATATGAATAATTAGAGGGCGCTAAAAGTTAGGAGAAGCGTTGGGTCAAGGATACATTCATACCTCTTGTCAATGATTCTGGGAAAGGTTAAAAGGTAAGGAGTTAGGCTGGAATAAGATGTAGCCAGGATACATTCATCCCCGGCCACCTACAATAAAAAAGGTAAGTCTATAGGGTGTGGAAAGGATACATTCATACCCCTGATCATCCACAGGAATGAGAGTAAAAGAAGAAGTGAGTAGCGCAAAAGAAGAAAACAAAAGAAAAGGTAGGTTATCTCGGAGAAAACGACACTCGCGCAATCCAAAAGATCGTCGAAGTAGGTTGGCTCAGTAGGGATCCGGAGGATCTGGGGCGTCCACAGTGGTGGCTCTGACCCACTGTGGATCCGTTCTCTCTATTTGAGGGATGTCCCAGGTCTAAAATCCTCTCTCTCCATCTTCTCGTGGTGGACCCTGAGGGCGCACATAGTTGTGCGTCGCTAACGGGGAGAGGGGCACGAGGCGGGAAGTAGCACCTGTGATGTGTGAGGCGATCCCGGCGGGATCTCCAGATCCTGGCAGGGCCTCCCATGCCGGTAAGGCTGACACTGAGTAGGGGTGAAAACCGCTTCACAGGGACGAGGAGAGGTCATTCCCGCGCGGTGGCCCACTGGGAGTGCTCCCCCCTGTGCGCTGGCTTTGCTTCTGCTGGCCTCAGGGGGGTCTGATCTGTGCTCGCACTACCGAGGTGGTAGTACCGCGCGGGATCATGAGCCGGCCCCTTCGGATCTTCAACCAAGTAGTGCGCGGTGAGGTGCGGGTGTCGGAGCCTGCACCTGCTACGGGCAGGTGCCCCCCCTGTGCGGTATTCCCGGGAGGGTTAAATGCAAAGGACGGGCCCCGAGGAACTGGGGTAGGGGGCATGTCTTTCGTTAGGCATGTCCCCCGAGGGTACACCCGTTCCCGTCCAGCAGCCTGTCCCGCCGCGCACGATGCGCCAGTAAAACAAAAACTATAGACAACTTAATTAAAAACGCAGGATGCACTGGTGCCGGGTCGGCCGGCAATAGCAGGGGTGACGGCAATGTCACACGGTCATGCACCGTTGTGTTAGAGGGGTTACAGTGCCCGGAAGTGGACGAGGATGGAGGTGTAACGTCGAGGCCCAGTTCAAGGGCTTCGTCAACACACGGGCTGGGGGCTGCAGCCCCATCTGCAGCAAGCTCGAGAGGTCGCC